GCTCCCCATTAATCGGGCTTCTTGCGCGCGTTTCTAAATTAGAGTTCATTATCCTCGGAGGTCGCTAATATAGGCAGCTCCGCTAAGGATGAACGCGTGCAGCCGGCTCGCTACAGCTGGCTTCGCCCCGCTCTGCCTGGTGGGCTCGGGAAGAGGGCGGAGGCTGCGGCCGTCCTGCGGGCAGGGACAGGCGGCCGTCCTTCCGCCCTCCGCCGCGCCATGGTCGCTGCCGACCGAAAGGCTGAAGAGTGGCCGGTCACCAGGCTGGGGACAGCAGCGAGCACATCCCCGAGTCAAATGGCTCCGTCCCTACTGCTGGAGGGAACGAACACTGCTCTCCCCCCTCGTCCCGTCCCGGAGTTAAACGTTTGTTTAGGACAAACTAGAGAAGCAACAGCCTTTGCGAGAACCTTGTTGTCCCCTTCTTCTCCTCGTGAATAACAAAGTGATCATAGGCTACTCGGCCAGTTGGCGAGGAAAGAACTTTTGTTTTCTGGGGCGATTTATGTTCTTTATAAATATGTGGTTTGGAAAATAAAAAGAGACTTGAAAACGTTGTTACAATGAAAAAGGACAAATTAGAAGACATTTTCTGTGATCAAAGGAGGAAGAGAAAGCGAGTAGGGGTATTCAAAAAGCTTGACTTATTCACACAACTCCTTTGGAGCCCAGGGGCAACAAGCGTGTCTTACATTGAAAAGGCGGCTCTATTCAGAGTGCAGGTGCGAAGTGGTGTGGCACATTCTGCCACATTATGTAAAGGTTGTTGGAGATTAGTGTTCAGACTTAATAACTAAAGCGCTTGATTTACATTGGAAAAAAGCCTCCTCATCCGTGAAAGCAAAATAATTTAACGCGTGATCATTTCGAGTGCTGCTGATATCCTAATACTTGCATTGTTCTCGGCCAAGTACTAGAGGAGCGCGGATTGATGCTTTTGGGAACCTATCATTTACAGCCACTGAACTCCGCTCAGAACTGGAGGTCCGGAGGGGAGATAAAAGAGGGGCACAAGATAAAAGTTTCACATTGGAAAAAAAGAAAACAATACAAATGGGACAGATCCCCTCCTCCCCGCACGCAGCCCCGTCCCGGTGCCAGGCTGCGCCCAGCTCTGCAGAGCCCAAAATTGGGCTGAGGGCTCAGGCGCTCTCCCTGCTCCGCCTTCCCCCGTCGGAGCAGAATTACTTACCTTACTAATTATTCATATTTATGTAAATGTCATTAGTTAATGTAACTTTCTATAAAAAGATAATCAAGCGAGAACGGAGCATAGGTATTACCTTAAGTGCATTGGCTCTGCTCGTTTCATTCATATGTTAATACACGTGATGCAGTAGTGCCAGGCGTGGGGAGGGGGGAGAGGAGGGGTGAGGAGGAAGGCGAGGGAAAGAAATTAAATAATAATAACAAAGACCACAAAGGCTTGAAGTTTGCATTGCGGGATCAAGGAGCACGATGCCTTCTGATGCGCTGAACAAAGGGGGACCGGCGCCGGCCCCGCCGATCCGGCTGCCCGGGCATCCCGGCAACTTCCAGCGGCGCTGGGCTGCTGTGCTCCCCCTCAAACCACCTCGGTCCGCCCAAATTCCCGTGCCGGACTGAGACCCTCCGCTTCAGAACGACCCACAAAGAAAGTATCTTTACTCGGGACGCGCACCAATTAAAATTGCAATACCTTTCTGCATCCCTCTTTAGTGTAAGCATTTGGGGGCCATTTCCATAAATTCTCTCCGAGAATAAAGGCTATAATGGGAACAAGGTGAGAAAGCTGTTAACCATTGTTTCAGCAAGAAAAGGTCGTAAGTCAGGCAATTGGTGTCTGACCTGTCAGGATAAGGTATAAAGGCTTTATTCATGCAGTCGCTCACGATTTTCTCAGCTCTCACAAAAGTGTTTTTATGATTCTGTTTTCTTACCTCGTTCCTTAATTAAAAAGCTGAATGATTAGAATAGCACCTGCATAATGTCTGGACGACGCCTGCATACTAATTCGCGAGTCTTTACATCTAGTAATTATAACATAAAATCAGAGATTGAATAAAACAGAAGGATTTTGCCCCTAAAGCCCTGCTAATCCCCTTTTAAAAGAGTCTGCTGAAATAATTCAGAACAGTTTCCGGAAGTTGGATTACCGACTCTTTTTTTGGCTATTTACAATGAAATGATATTTCACACTTAAAGGAGTCTCTGTATTTCTACAACAGGTTTTTAAAGGTGGCCCGCTTTCCAGACAATAACAATCCAGTGACTCCTTCCTTCTTTTCCTACCGATTTTTCCCTATTCTCCCAGCAAGATCTTCATCTTTATCAGCTATATGCGAGGATTAATCCGTCTTCAGGTAGAGAGAACAAAACCTCCCCCTCGAGCCCTCCCTCTGAGTTCCCTTCCAGGACTTCCAGCCCCACCACCCCCGGCCCTGGAAGAGCAGCAGGGCAGCGGCAGTGCAGCCCGAGTTCAGCTGCACCCCGTTTCCCCGCCGCCCGCAGGAGCTCCCATTGCTACACTGTTGTCCCCCAGGGTAAAGGATAATTTAAGCCAGCAGAGGCTAGTCAAAAGTTGGAGAATACTTTTTTTTTTTTTTTTTTTTTTTGGTCTTCCCAAAAATGCTGGGTGGGGAGGAGGGAATGAGGGGGGGGAGGGGGGGAGGGGAAGGGGGAGATGTGCGCTTTTGTTTGGCTTCAGGGAGGGCTCAAGCAGGTATCCCGAGGGGCAGCAGAGAGGGGGCAGGGGCCGCTGGCAGCGCAGTGCCGTCGGGATCTCTCTCGGGATCCCCACCCTCTCCCCGGGCACCCCGAGGTGTCTCTCCACGTTCGCTCATCACCGACACAGCGACCCTGAGAAGGTTTGGCAACAGTGAGGAGCGAGCCGATCCTCTGGGCGGCATTGACCTGAGGGGGGAAAGATAAATAGTCGATTTTATTGGGCGTCCTGTTTATTTTAGTGAAAATCAAATCAGAAGAAAATAAAATAAAAGGTATCAGTACGTTGCCCAACGTGCTCCCAGCCGCGGCTGAGGAAGGAGCCCGATGCCCGGAGCCGCGGGTCCCGACCTTCTCCCATTCCTCGGACCGCTCAGAGCACGATGAGGAACTGTGGGGCTTTTGTGCGCTGTTGCCATCATTAGGAACACCTTGATCTCTCGTGCTATTTTTTTTTTTTCTTTTTCTTATGTGAAAGAGTTATTTTTGCGGTGATTTTGTCGTCCCCCCTCCTTCTCCTTCCCCAGAGTAATCGTAAAAAAACTCTAAGTCATCCACGAGAAAATGGAATCAATCTGTCATTCAGCATTAAAAATCTGAGAGTTTTAACTAAAAGCTTTAATTGCTATTCTGGCCCTTTTATAACCATGGGAACGCCGTGCTCTGTCGGGATCTGTGCGATGTTACATATCCCTTTAGCAGGCACTCCCTTGTTTGTTCACTCTTGCTTACTTTCATTTGTATCCCAGGAATATCCTTGCACCAGGCGACACGGGAAGAGACAAAGGGTATAAATAAACTAACATATGGCCCAGAGGTTTTAGCGGAGCTGGAGCCGCTTAGCAGTCATGTGGGCGATGCTGGGGAGCCGGCTTCTCTCCTTCCCCCGCGTAACCTCCGCGCTCCTTTCCACCTTATCGCGATAAGCCACGCGCCTGTCGCGGCCGGCCTGGCCGGACCAGCTCGGTTTCCCTTGGGGCTGCAAAGATCGAGACAGCGAAGGGATGGGGAAGGATGAGTAAGCGTGTGTGTGTGCGTGTGTCTGTGCCCGTATGTGTGTGTGCACGGAGACAGCTGGAAAATCCCATTTGGGGCGATGGACCCCGGGCAGAGGCTCAGCCCCGGGTCACTGCGGGTCCGACCCCTCGGAAAGGAGAGGGGAGGGCCGGGCAGAACGCTGCACGGTCAGACATCGACAACGCGTTCTTGGCAATGCAAACCAGTTCAGGGCTTCTGTCCCAAACTGCTCAGTCCTACTCGGTGTGTCTGACTGCCCCTCCCGCCCCTCCGCTTCTCCCGATATCGTGGCGGAAATGGGCTTTGGTTACTGATTCATATTTCTAATCTTCCTTTCCTGGAAATACAATGTGCTTTTGTTAAATGAATGGTCTTTAATTAATGCACTTGCACAATGCAGGGGCTTGCACGGGGATCGATGATAGGAAGCAACAGGGGATGGTTCCCTCCAAAATGGTTTGTCAGCATTGAGAAAGAAAAGGCAATGTCTTTAAAGGGCCACTAATAATGCCCACACGTCTCTCTCACCATGCTGTCTGAGGGGACATTCCTTCCCTTGTTGACAGTCAAGTGCAATAAGTACATGTCTTCGCTCAATCATTAGAGACCATAGAATTGTATTCTCTAATTAGCATGTACTGTTAGCCCTCCTTGCCTTTTTGTGCCTTTTTTTTTTTTTTTTTTGTCTTCTACGCATCAGCAAAAATGTTTTCCTTTCTTTTTCTTCCATTTCTTTCTTTCTGTATTTCTTTACTTCCTTTCATTCTCTCTTTTTCTGTAGTCAAACGCATTCTTAGTGACAATATTCGTGCCACCCAAAGTCAGCTTTTTGTCATCTCTGTGTGTTAGTCAACTTCTTTCAAGTTTTCTATTAGGGAAAAAAAAAAAAAAAAAAGGGTAAAGGCAGCGCGCATGCGCATCACACCGGCCGGGGTTGGGGCTGCTGTGCCCGGGGCTGCATCCACCCAAATGGCAAAGCTGGGCTCTGAGCAGCCCTGCCAAGGGGATTCTGAGCGAGCTGGGAGCTGCAAGGTGTCAAAATCAGTCCGTGCAATACGCAAGGCCCGGAAGGGTTATCTTCGTGCTACTTCAGCTGATGAATTCATTTCCTCTCCTAAATATATACGTATAAATCCTCATCAAATCAAATAAGTGGCACTGTGTCAGGGCTCACTTTGGGGAGATATTTCCACAAACAATGCTATCCCACGCCTTCCTGCCAAGAGAATGCACACCATGGGACAGAGGCAGGAGCAGCGGAGCTGGGGGGGCTTTGCCCGGAGCCCCGCGCCCATCCCCGGCGGTCGGCGACCTCCCGAGAGCGGAGCTGCCCGCCCGGAACAGCGGAGTGCGGGGCAGACAAGAAAGGGACGGGGCTCATAGGGGAAACTCGGGGCAGAGGGATCCGCGTTTGCACGCTGCACTTCGGGCAATGTTTAAAGAATTCATTGGAATCCGAAAAACAAACAAACAAAAAGAAGTTATCCCCGAAATGAAGCCAAAGAGGTGCTTTGGTTTGGTTTTGTTCTTTTAATGCAAATGCCAACCTAAAACGATTAACATTAGGAGAGGATAAAGACCAACAAAAAAACACACTTTATATCGTACACCACACTGACAGTACACCGCTTCGAGAAATCTTTTTCAACGAATATAAAACCAACAGAAGGACGAATTACAGCGCTCTGGGAGCGGCTCGGCATCGTCGATACAAACACACATTTTTAAAAGTGCACATTTGTAAAAATAACCCTAGAATTGATACGTTTATAAATATTTATTGTAAAAAAATCCAAATATTAAAAATAAATAGTATGTTCAAGCGCACAACAGAAAGTTCCTCCGTTACCAAACACGTGATGAAGGAAAAGACGGAATTTAAGAAGTCAGATACAGTACATCAACATTGCAAATGTTTTTGCGAGCTACATTTTCAGAGGTGTTTCTTCTCCGTACAGTTCACGAGGAGTGTGGTAGATTTCCCCATAAATATGACAAGAGCCAGAATCAATAATAACAATAATATTGATAATAATAATATCCCCTCCGCCGCAGTTTGACTCGGTCTTTGCTCAGGAAAAGTCCCATTAAATTTTTGGGGTTGCTTAGAACGGCGGGATTGGGCTCAGATCACTCTGTAGCAACTAAAACAGAAGTACACCGATGAGTTACAACTTCGAGGAATCCGCTTTACAAACAGAGCTTTGAATGATCTCCGATGGGAAACTCCTAAATAAATCTTGACCGGGGAATCGGTAAGCACGGTGATGTTTATCAAATGAAGATACAAAGGGATGCGGTTGGGCTATCTTTACACTTACGGACAATAAAACATGGGAGCATATGGAAGCCATCGCTTTGAATGCGTTAACCACTTCGATACATCGCAGTATATACACGCTTAATAGGTATTCGGACTGTTGAAATGATCAAAGACTTTTACTCTGATGTCTTTGCTGTTGCTTTCATTCTAGTGAAAGAACGCGTTTGTTGGTCACATACTGGTGGCAACGAGACCAACGTTTCTGCCTTCTCTCAGGAGCTGCATTCTGCGCAGCACATGTGGAGGAATAATTTATTAGACGGAAAAGTTCAGAGGATAAAATGCCAAAATGGACATCATTTCAACTTTCGAGCAGTAAGGTCATACAGACATCTACGGACATCTGTAGGCAGACAGTTTCACACAGACGCAGCCACGTAGATCCAGATGTATGTCTATACACAGGATTCGGTAGTTTGGTATTTTCCGCACCCTCTGGGCCCCCAAAGTTATCTTTAAAAGTTTGATTTTATCTCTTTAGAAACGGTTTAAAGCCAACGGGCAGGGTGAGTTTGACAGAGAGGAGAACAAATCGCTGACAAAGAACCTTTTACGTTTCATCAGCGTTGTTAGGACGACGAGCAGGAATTTCTCAGATAATAACTCCCACTTCAAAGATTTCTCAGCTCAATAGAAATTGGACCATCCTTTTTATTCAACCACAAGGGCTGGCACTAAAGACGACTCAACTGTTTGAATTTTTTTTTCACCGTGTTTATTTTTCCCCTATTCACCAGGGTACTTGGATAAAATAAACAACAAGACAATTACTGGAACATGGACTTCTAACTTTCCCGGGCCCATGGCCCAGCGCCCATGGCCCCGGCCGTGCGGGTGTCAAGTTCCCCGCCCCCGGGGGCTGCGGGGGGGTCCCTCTGGCCGAGCCCTGAGCGGAGCGGCGGGTCGCGGTGACATCCCCGGCGCAGCCCCTCCGTGGGGCGGTCGCCAGAGGGGTCCTTCCCCGTCCTACCGAGGGGCTGGGGGTGAGGGGACCGCGGGCAGAGCCCGGAGCTGCCCCTCTGGGGGGGTGAGGGGAGCTGAGCCCGCTCGGGTCGAGGGTGAAGCCCGGCAGAGCCCAGCCCCGCAGAAGGGCCTTGGGTGGAAGAAGCATGTCCGTAGCGAGGGGCAGATTGAGTGTATTAAGCTAGCATGAAACCAAAGGTCAGTGCAAATGTATCTTAATAGACTGTCTCAAATGGAGTGTGCCTCCTTTGAAGGCCGCTTGCTATTGCTCTCCTCATTACCATAGCGATCCTAACGTGGCATGCTGATGCACCATAAAACTCACACTTTCAACCCCAAAATCAGGCCCTTTGAACAACCCGAGCTTGATTAGACCTTTCTCCTTTTCTTTTCCCCCTTAAAAACCATTTCCTTGCCTTTAGAAACTCGCCCTCAAATCCCAAACGCATTCTCTGATCCCGGCAGAAAGCAGAAACAAAAGTGAGCCGAGGCGGCGGTTCAGGCGGGCCTTTTCTTCCCGACATTCTTATCCATTTTTATTATGATCTGGAACAAGTGCCCCGTTCGCGTGGGTTTTGTTTACCGGAAATTAAATGAAAATGATTTAGTTGGCGTCAAACAAAAATATATACTTGTATACACAAGAAAAAGGGCCCGTTAGACGTAAATATTATGTCCTTAATGAAAAGACTGGACGGGCTCCAGACTTCGCCTTTCACTATTTAAGTATGACTTGCCTATTGCCATAGAAATCCTAACTTACCATGAAGATTCACCGTTGTGAAGAAATACTTCTTTGTGCGAGCTTTCTTTGATGTCTAAGGCATAAGATTCAGGCTTTCAGCTGCGTCTGTCTAGATTACCTTGAGAGCAACGGGGCAGACATCTGTAACAAGCAAATGAAAAATTAAAGGTGATTAGCCTGCACATCCAAACACTTCTGGAAATAGAGAAATAAAGAACTAAACAGAACCGGGGACAGAATGGACACAGCCTTCTGCCCGCAGCCGGTTCTGCAGTGTGACTTTGGGGCTGTGTGGCAGAAGGGAGCAGCGCCCAGCGTGGGCTCTGCACCCATTTCCCCCGGCCCAGCGGCGCACTCTCGCCCTGACACACGGCGAGGAGCGAGGCACACAAACCCCAAAAGTTGTCGGGTTCGCGCTGGTGAAGTGGGGACGTGGTGCCTTGGGAACAGCATTCGGCTGCAGCAGGAGGGGTTGGGTTTGCCACTGACCGGCTATCTGTTTTCCTCTCGCTTTTATCTTGACATCTATAAACACACACGTGTGTACGTGCGCGTGTGTTTGCCGGACACAGCCGCAGCCACCTGAGTGGAGGGGTGCGCAGGGCACAGGGGAAGAGCTCACAGCAGCCCCTCTGCACCCAGCGAGCCGTGGGAAACCCTTCCAGCAGCCCGTGCTATTTATTTGCCTATACTATCTGCTATTCTTAAACATCATTAAAGTAATTAAAACGGTACCATTCGGCAGTTTCAAGCTACCCCACTGGAGGCTTTTGTGTACTTGTTTTGTTGTGTTTTTTTTTTTGTTGTTGTTGTTGGGTTTTTTTCCTCCTTCCTTCTTTATTTCGCCTAGAGGAGTGAGCCGTGTATGTTTGTGTAGGGTCCAGCTTGAAGCTCCGGGCCATGCCCCAGCCGTGCTGTGCGAGCACCGGCACCGGGAGCTCTCCGCAGGGCACAGCCGTACAGCAGCGGCCCCGGCCCCGTCTGCTGGGGGGCACCGGGCCCCCACCCGCTGCGTGACGTCATTGGCTGCTCTGCCCTCAGCCCCCACAACCCCAACCAGACAGAGACCGCACCTGGGGGGGAGGAAAGGAGGGGGATTTGGGGGAGTCAGCGCCGAAGGAACACGCAGCCCCACACCGCCTGGGCCGCCTGTGTTAGCCACTGGGGGAAATAGATAGCTGTATGTATTGTTACGTACTGCTGCAGGGAACGGTGGGAGATTCTTTACAGAAACGTCCATCGAGAGAGTTAATTAACGAAAGAATTTAATGGATTAATTCTGTACAATTCGGTAACAAATAACTGTTTATAATTTTTTCTTCTTTTTTAAAAAAAAACAAAACAACGCTCTCACAGAAAGTAGAGGACCAGTAGAACACTTCAGCACGAGACACTGTTGACAAGAGAAAACCTGTACAGCTGCGAATCTGTGTGAAACCACCGTGGGTGGGGAGCGGGAAAGAGAAGGGAAGGAAAAGGGATAAAGGAAAAAGGAAAGGGAAAAGGAAACAGCTGCTGCAACTCAGTGCGCTTGTGGCCAGGCAGGAGCGAGGCGATCAGCGGGCGGTGCGCACGGAGGAAGGAGGCAGTTTGGCCAGGCCGAGCGGGAGCAGCGGGGTCCGGCAGCGCGGCTCTGCCTCCCCGGGGCCGAAGCCAAGGCCCGTCCCCTCCTCTCTCGCTGCCCGCAGCCGCGCTCCCGCTCCCGTCGCCCGCCGCGCTCCCTAGCAGCGGGGCCGGGGCTGGGCGGCGGGGCGCGGGGGCGGCGGGGCGGCGGGGGGCGCGGGGCGGCCCTGACACACGTACCATTCGCTCAGGTTGGCGGCGGGCGGCGCGGGGGGTTCGGCGTGAGAACACGAGGCGGGGGGGTCCCGGCCGGAGTCCGAGGAGGGGGACACCAAGGAGGGCGTGGAGGACTCGTAGCCGGAGCTGGGAGGAGGGGATTTGCAGTGCACTTTCATGTGTTTTCTCAGGGAGCTGGGGTGGGTGTAGGACTTGTCGCAGCCTCTCACTTTGCAGTTGTAGGGCTTGTCGCTGGTGTGGACGTGCGAGTGCTTCTTCCTGTCGCTGCTGTTGGCGAAGCGTCTGTCGCAGCCCTCGAATTCACATTTGAACGGCTTCTCCCCTGCGGGTGGCAAAGGGAGAGCACAGCCGTTAGCACCGGGGCCTCCGGGCAGCCCCCGCACCCCGACCCCGCTTTCACCCTCTTCGGCCCTGCACGGATCCCCCGGGACCGCTCCTCTCGGGCCCCGCCAGCCCCGGCCCTTCCCAGCCGCGCTCCCCTCTTGCCCATCCGGCCCCGCAGCGGGAGCGCTCGGCCCGAGGCCGCTCTTCCCGCCCCTGCCCTCGGTGTCAACGTGGGGTTTTTGTGCGCAAGACAAAGCCCCCAGATAAGGAAAACTTCGAGGCGAAGTGCTCGTTCCGGGTAGACAATGCGCGCTGTCCCTGCGGACCCCGGTGTCCTGCAGAAAAAGCGGGCAGTGATTTATCTCTGGGAGTGTTTTTACGTTAAATACATTTCTCACACTCCCGGAGGTGCACGTGGAGATACTATTCGTCACCTCACCAGATCACATCCCATGCACTCCTTTCTCGCACTGATTACGATCCTGCGGAAGATCCGCGTCCCCCCTCCCCTCCCCGCTCCCCAGTTGCTGACACAGTAGGGCAAAGAACAAAATCTTTCTAAAAGACATCGACGGTTTGGGCGAAACGAGAGGGATTCAGCAGGAGAAAGAGTAGGCCGGGGCACGGCTGTGTCTGGGATAGCATTCTCTTTTCATTTGAACCTACTCAGTCATGGAAGGAATCGCAATCGGGATTAATTTGTTTGGTAATATGATAAGTGACGTTAAGCAGAATAGAAATATAATTGTGATGCCAAAGTCACGCGTAAGTTGGGATGGTGCAGACCGGGCACGGTACACGATATACAGGCAGCTTTCCAGGAAACGTGCCACGGAGAGCTTCGGGCTGAAATGATGACTGCGTTATTATCACTGACAATGGCACACTGCAAACCCAGCTTGGCAAGGAAAGCTCAGGTCCTGCAGCAGCCGGGTGGGGAAAAAAAAAACCCTCATCCCCTTAAGCAAAAAAGTATCAGGGCGAGGGGGACAGCACAAGATGTGCAGCCGAACCCTAATCGTCAAATACAAACAAAGCCCCCGTGCTCCCATCATGGCGTGTGTGGCGGAAAGGACCCGGCACATTTGTAAAAGCTCCGGGCTTCGGGTTTTTAATTTGTTGGCGGTTTTTATCCCCTCGCGGATCGTCACGATCGAATTTCGGAGGGGCGCAGCCCACCTCGCGCTGGCTGTGAGCACGGGCACATAAAGGAAAGCATTCCAAATATTTCACATGAATGCACTTTATGCAAGGTGGGTGGGAAAAGGCTCACGGCTCCGCGCTTCGAGCGTGTCCTTTCCTCCGGAATACCCGCTGACGGTCTCCGCTAACATTTGCACAGAGGATTGGTAAACACCTGGCATCGGGGAGAAGGGGGAGAGGTTAAAAATAAGGTCTCGGAGAAATTGATGCGGGTCCGTAACCAAATGCTGTCGGTATACAGCGGTGCATATGCACGCACGCATATAATCTAATTACAGCTTCACGTAAGGCAACAATTTGACCTTCAGCATCTACGTTGAGACAACAAATCAAGGATATTAGTGTAGTACAAGCAAGCAGTAAGTTAGGAGGCCCCAGGGAAAGCCATCCTCATAAGCGCTTCGCTTGTGCAACGTGAGTTACAATCAGGTAAAGGCGGCTGCGGCGCGTTCTGCTTCCACCGGAGTTGCAAAACATTAAACTTCGCTTAACCCCGTGAGAGAGGCGCCGAGCAGCCCTCGTGCAGTCAGAGAGCAGCGGGGAGAGGGCAGCGCTTCCGCAGCCGCCCGGGTTGCATTCTCAGAACGCCTCGGTAAAGAGGAGCCAGCCGAGCTCTATTCCTTTCCCAAGAGAGTGTTTTCTTACGTGGGAACCCCACCCGAAGGGAAGAGGACACGGTGCGGTCCTCCCAGGGCAGCTCGGGCACAGAGCTGCGGCGATGCGGACGCTCAGAGAGTTCTCCGGGCGACGGAAAAGCGCAGGACCCAACCCGCCATGTTACCCCCCCACTTGTAGCTGCGCAAAACCGTCCTCTGCTCGGAAATTGTGGCATAATCCCCCGTCTCCGGGAGTGGATTAAGGTATTTACCAACTTCTCCGGGGGGCGGGGGGCCGGAGGCGGCGGCCTCGGGCTGCGGGCGGGGAGCGGGGGCGGCGGGCAGCTCCCCACGGCCCGCAGAGGGCCCCGGGAGGCAGCGCTGGGAGCCGGCCCGGCCCCCCACCCCCCACCCCGGGCACACGGGAACCTCGGGCCTGGGGAGCAGAGCCCCGGCAGAGAGCCCTCCACGGCCCCGCAGAGAGCGACGGTCATTAATATTTGAGGAGGCAATAATTTTCCTGTTGAATCTAGAACTGTCTTCATGAATAATTTGTAGCGAGTTCTATTAGGGTTTCAGAAACATTTCGCTTTTGACAACTTCTGGGTGTTTAATAGAAACGGTGGAACCATAAAGGCCCCGCAGGAGTTTTCACAATACAGCAATTAATCACCGGGAACGTTAAAGTGAAAAGTACAGACGCGCGGAATTATGTTTAATAAACGCACGGCTCCGATCGCGGCTCTGCCCTGAACCTGCCTCGCCGATGTAGGTCACTTTCCCCAAGAATTTAACCATTTTCTGCTTCAGAGACTTCAAACAGTGAGGCCGTTAAAGAGCAGTAAAAGTTTGTTTACTTAAGAAAAACGCCGTCATTAGGGGATGAGCTCCGCCGGGCGAAGGCTGTACCTGTTCCGATCCGGCTGCAAGCTGCGTGACCCGGGGCCGCTCCTTTCTTCTCGCAAAGGGGCCGAGAACGAAGAGAGGAACCCAGCTCCTCTTTGCCCCCCCACCCCCCACCCCCGCCCAGATGAGCTACTCACAGAGCGATGGAAAAATAATTAGGTGACGAGTGATGCTCGCTGTAAAACCTCCGCGCTATGCCTAGGCGATACGATACGAAATTAGGATAGATGTCATGCATATTACAGCACGTCGGGTTGTATCGTAAAAACGCGGCTCCTCGAAGGTCGGGCCGCAGCGAGCGTGGGGGGAAGGGGACTTTTAGGAACTGGAGGGCGAAAAAAATCGTTTGGCTGTAAGCAGATCTTACAATAGGATTATGGAGTTTCCCTCGCAGTGCATAAGGCAGTACAGGAGGGGGTGGGGATGGAAAACCCGACACTGGAACAGATTAAATGTTCCAAAAAGGGCTTATTTCTTATCGTCCCTAGGAAAAAAAAGAAAAAAGAAAAAAAAAGAAAAGAAAAAAAAAAGAAAAAGAAAAAAAGGGGGGCGGGGATGGGGGTAAGGAAAAAAAAATCACAACCCAACGCTACAGACTACAAACACCGGCTGCTAAACTAATTAATACAACTTCACAAGCTGCTCCTGGAAGTGTGAAAACTTTCTACGTGTCATTTCATTAATTATAAATGCTTTCCTAGCCGGAAGAGTTCAAAGACAGTTTTGAGAGATCGTCCAGCGAGTGACTTTATTTCTGTTAGCCAGAACCAACAGACGCTCCCGACACATGTCCCAATTTCGCTTCACAGATCTGCAAATGACATCTCAAACCGTACAGGCCGAAACAATACCGGGGGTTCTTCTCTTTTTTCCCTCCCGAGATTCAGAACTTGCAGCTCCCCGTATCTGCGAGCGCACGGAGTCCGTGGATGGCAATGCTCATGAAATATGTCAGTGTTATTCAGATCAAACATTTGAAACTCCCTCTGCCCAAAACAAAACTGTTGAACGAAAAGGTCGCAGCTGTGTTATTCTCACAACGTTCGACCAGCAGCATCTCAGCGACATCGCTCAAAACTGACTAGACAAGTTGTAAGTCCTATTGTTCACTTTTAATTTGGGAGCTTGCACAATGATTTCATTTTCTCCCCAACTACATTAAACTGCCAACAGGAAAAAAAAGAAAAGAAAAAAAAAGAAAAAAAAAAAAAGAAAAAAAGAAAGAAAGAAAGAAGGAAATCCACGCCCGTGTGAAGCAGCAGCAATAGCTCTACCATTCGCTATGGTCACAGCTCTCCCCGCACAAACCTCACAGCCGCAAAACCAGAAAAAAAAAAACATGGACGAGAATTCCGAGATTTGTTCTCGCTCACCTTTTTTTCCCCCCATCTTCTCCCCCTCCCTCCAAGCGGTACAGAAGCAAACAAATTCGAGAATTTATTTTCCGGAAGGACTTGGCGTGCATTCAACAACAACGCAAAGGACACATTCAAAAGAAAATAAAGCAAAACAGTACGTTGAATAATACAGAGAGAGTAAAGAGAGCTTTCCATACTGACCTGTGTGAGTTCTTTTGTGTATTTTGAGATTCTCTGATCTGGCAAACACTTTGCCACAGCCTGGGAAAGGGCAGGGGAAAGGTTTTTCACCTGTGTGGACTCGGATGTGATTTACGAGTTTGTATTTGGCCTTGAAAGGTTTCCCTTCTCGCGGGCACTCTTCCCAGAAACATATGTGATTGGACTGCTCGGGTCCTCCAACGTGCTCCACGGTGACATGAGTCACCAGCTCGTGCATCGTGCTGAAAGTTTTCGAGCATAATTTTTTGGGAGTCTGCTCCAACTCAATCCACTTACAGATGAGTTCCTGTTTGATGGGCTGCCGCATGTAGCGGAAGAAGGCCCCCGGGCCGTGGTGCGGAGCCAGGTTCACGTTCAGGTTCATGCCACCGTAGCTATGAAGCGAAGAAGCAGCAAAAGGCTCTGTCCTGGAGGCTGGCACTGGAGTGAAATGTTCAGCCTTGGCGTACATTTCTCCAGGTAACCCCAGCCTTATCTGTCCGTTTAGATGGCCACCTGGAGCTGCATGGGGCGGCTGCTCATGGAGTCCAGCGAACAGCGCGGGATTCCCGGCTTCCGAGGGGCGGTGGTGCCCGCGGTGTCCGGGGCAGCTACCTGTTGTTGAGACAAACAGTCCGTGGTGAGATCGGGCAGCGGGGTGCTGCTCGCTCAGCCCGGGCATGGCCGAGTCCCTGGCAGCAGCTGTGTGGGACAAGGGGCAGGGGGCCGCCGCCGGGCCGAACGCCTCTGTGTGACCGGAGAGCGGCTGGGCCGGGCCCGCCGGGCGCGGGCGGTGGGGCTGAGGGGCAGGGCCGAGCTTTAGGGCCGCGAGGTGATGCTGAGGAGGAAGATGAGGATGGTGGCTGTGCCCCATGTGTTGGTGCGGCCCGCCGAGGCGGGACCCGGCGGCGGGGGGTTGCGCGGCGAGGCCCGGGCAGCGTGGCACGGACTGCGGGGGGTGACGGAGTTGGGGACGTAGAGATCCCCCCGAGTCAACGAATCTCAGCGCCGCGTTCCGCCCGCAGAGAGCAGCGGGGTCCATCACTGGGATCCCCGGAGCACCCACGCTCTTTAGCTGTTAACGCTAAAAAGCCATCTGACGGCGGAGGGGAGAGATAGACGGTGGGGGGGCGGAGGGGGGGGAATAAATAAAAAGCAATGAAAAAGCGGGGTTGGGGGGGGTGAGGGGGAAGGAAAACTTTTTTTTTTTCTTTCTCCCCCCAAAAGTTTCCCGTCCCGCTGCTCCGGCGGCAGGGCGCAGGGTGCCAGCGGGTGGGCTGCGCGGGGGTGGCGGGGGCTCGCTTTTGGCTGCGGCTGAAGCCGGGGAGGTCCCCGCACGGCCCGGCCTCCGCGGGCCCCCGCAGACCCGAACCGCGCGGCCGCGGGACGGGACCGCGCCGCCTCCGGGCTGCCGCGCACGGCCCCGCGGCCAAACAATCGCCGCGTTCTTCCATTGGCCGCCGCCGTCGTGGCGTCACCGCTGACAGGTCCCGCCGCCGAACCGAGGGTTATCGCTCGGCGCGGGCGGGGGGCTGCGGGGAGCCGCTTATTGCGCATGCGCCGCCGCCGGCTGCCCCCGGCCCGCCGCCCTCCCGCAGCCCTGCCGGGGGCCGGGGCCGTGACGGGAGCGTGTCCTCGGTCCCGCCGTCGGGCCGGGCCTCCGGTGCGGGTGAACAAAGCCCCGACGGGCGGGGGGAGCCCCGGTGGAAAAGTCCCGGCCGCTCCCCGCGGCCTCCTCCTTTGTTTGGGGCCCCGGCACTTGCTGGCGGCCGCCTCCACGCGCAGCCCCGCGGGCCGCCCCTTGGGGTTGTGCACCGTCCCCGTGCTCGGGTTCGTGCTGCGGCTCTCGGCCGCGCAAAGAGCTCTCGAAAAAGCCCCGCTCACCGCCTTGGGCAAGTTTTGGCGTTATCTGGTTGTTGGCTGTCGGGCAACGCGAGAAAACGTAGTGTTTGGGGCTGAGTCTGAGTGCTTAAGCCAGAACAGGGAGTATCTCCCTTCCCGTCTCTCTCTGACACTCACAAATAAATCCCCATCCTCGATTTGATGAGAAGCATTGCAACACACCCATAACGCCTCCGTTCTGTGCTTCTCACCTGCAGGAGAGAGCACGACCGAGGGGCGCGAGCTGCCAGCAGTGAAAGCTAAGAGTCAGGCTCCGTGCACTGAGGCCTGACAGGTTTAGATAAGCTCGGGGTGCAGAAGGAAGCTCCTATTTCAATGTAAAAAGGAGATTATGAACTGTCCGTGGAGCATGGGAAAAGACACGTGAAAGACAGTGCGTGCTTCAAGAACAACAAACACAACTGTAAGTAGCTGCCTACAGCAGCACCAGATTTGGGGTCCTACCACAAAGAGGACTCTGCCAATGAACAAGGGAAAGCAGCAATTAGTTCCCTACGCCCGGATCCCTGCTCAGTACCTGTCTTGCTGTCACTTCCCCATGGATGCTCTCTGTCATGCCAGATGAAGCTCCCATTACAGGTTTCCACGCTTCCACATAAGTTTATCGGCTTTACAATAAGTGGCAAAATATGAAAATGTTCTGCATGGTCAAGGCAGCTGCTCTCAGAACAGAAGCTACGAGCCAATGAATGGAAACGATGGGATGTAAACATGAGACACCCAGAATCGCACAGGACACGTTCCTGGAACAGCCTAGCACGCTGCCTGGCTGCAGTTTTGGCTCTCGCTCTATTTCCCCCGTAACACAGAGGTGATATTATGGTCACCGGCTGTAGGAACATCCTCATGTCTTCCTGAGTGGGGATACAATGAAAAGTGGCAAATGACGCTGTCAGCTCTCCATCCTTACAGAGCATGTTTACACAGGCATTTTACAGCACACGCCATCCTCATAGTATCTTAACTTCCAACTACTGGCTCTAGGGAATGGCTTTGGCGGTCCTATTCATGAGCATCTCAATAGGAGTGCTTAGAGAGACAAACGTTAGGAAGTACGAATCTGTTACTTACAAATGGACTGAGGGCATGAATTCCAAACAAAGATGCTTTCCCTAACCTCCCGAAAACCTTCCACCTCTACATCCTTGTTATCCAGTAATTCTGACACTTCTCGGTCAGGAGAGAATACATCTGGAACAGTTTATCTATTAAAGATGTTCTAACCGGATTTGCCCTGCGTTCACTTCAGTTGCTGCAGTGTTTTCTGTTTGGACACCGATGGTTCTCGGCTCGCACCCCGCTCCCAGTCCCGCAACAGCGAATGAGCCCCGATCTCGGTGTCCCAGGGCAGGCGGGGCTCCCGGTGCCGGCAGAGTAGGGCAGCAAGGCGGGGGGCAGCGGGGCCGGAGGTCGGCGCTGCTCACGGGATGCTTGGAATCTCGAGCGCCGTTAGGCGGCCCTTTGGCTGCCGCTCGAGGGGTGAGAGAGGTTTCCTGCTCTTGGCAGCTTTAAGAGCTGTGTGTGACCAGATGAGCTCGGCAAATGCTCAACTGTGTCAACATCAGCCTATGCGTGGCCAAGGTTTTATTATTATTGTTATTATTTCCTTTCCACCCACCTGGCTACGATATGGGCAACCCCTTCTGGACCCCTCCCGGGACTGCTAAGCTGGATGAACCTGAGCACTTCCAGGCAGAAGGCAGCAATGCTCAGGCAGCAAAACAGAAACATTCAGTTCAAACGGAGCCAGTAATCAGGTCCAGTGCTAGGACAATGAGATCTATAGGGTAGACCTTAGGACAGAATGAAGTGCGGAGGAACGTTGTTGCTCCCTTGGTGACAGATCCAGGGGTAATCAACATGTGCTCCCAACAGCTCTGTGCTCGGGACAACTTTCCTAGCAGCTGTCCTCAAGCCTGCCTGTGCTGGAGGTCTGCTCCAGAGAGTTGACAAGTTGTGGGGTGATGCACCCGGGTTTTTTCCTCTGAGATGAGTCCAGGGCACCTTTCTGCTTTCCTTGGCCCCAGGGCTCTCCCCGGCCCGACGGTCCCTGCCTACAGGCGTGTGGCTGCAACACGAAGCCCCCGGCACTGCCCGCACAGCGTCCTGCAGGACCAGCCCGAACCGCGGAGCTCCGGGGATGGGCCGTCCTGGCTGTGCGGAGCAGTTTACAGAGCTACCACGGTTTTGCTGTGAATCTCCCCCACGTAGCAATGCACTTCTCCCTATTGCTACCTTTCTGTGAAGGCGATAGGCAAAGCCCCAGGAAACCGGGACTGCTCGTGTTGTGCTCTTTGAATTGGAGCCAAATACTGCTCCCCCCTAGAGCTGTGCTCGGTGCAAGGAGAGGTCCTGCCCCGGGCTCTGACCTCCGGCCCCTCGGCCGTGCCCTCCCGCCCCTGAGCACAGTTCCCTGCTCGATGAGCCGGCCATAACCCCTCCGATCTGGTCGTTGAAGGGATGCTCTGAAATCCCCACACAGCAGCTTCCAGGAGTTACCTTACAGGCTTCAACTCCTGGACTGGAGGAAAAGATTAATCTGAAAATCCTAATATTTACTCAGATGAATAATAAATAAATAAATAAATAAATAAATAAATAAATAAATAAACCAACGACGAAGAGAAACTGAGAGGACTGAGCTGCGTTCCTGTGCGATCCCACAGCCATCAGCTTCGCGATGGGCCGGGAGGGCATGCGGGCAATGGCTGTGACGGGAGAAGGCACCGCTGTTCCGGGGAAATGGCTCGGGAGAGCCTGCCGGTACCCTCGGCATCTCCTCGCCAAGAGGGGCACCGAGCGGCTTGGGATCGCACTCTCCCTTTGTTTCTACTTCTTTGCCCCATTCCCACACACAGGGACTTCTGTATTTCAGGGAATTCAGCCATCAGACGAGCAAGGACTCGTGCCTAGGTTTGTCTCTCACTTTTTGTGACCTGGAGCTACCCTAGGACAAGCAAATCATATGCTTATTTTAAATAGAATATTTCATTCAGTACCTCAAGATTAAGGTATTCCTGTCAGATAAGCTGTCAGTCACTAACTACTTAGACACCACATTGTAGAAGCCTAGTAGCCCTGGTAAAGATGATACATATCATGTAAACCCCATCAACAAGATCAAAGTCTTCTTCTTTAATAGGATCCAATACATGTCAAACCTCATTCCAATCAAATCGTCCGTAAATGAATTCAAGATGAATATGTCATAGAATAATGTGACAGTGCAATCACATGGGGTCAGGGGTTGTTGTTTCAATGAGAGAGTCGTCAAATATTAATTCTAGAACCTCCAAATGAATAGGCATTCAGCGGGATTAGGCAGCTGCTGGTGGGGCGTTGTGTCGCTGATTTGTGTTTATGCAAGTATGTTAAACACTAAGCTGAAAAAAATATTGTCTCCTTTGAACTGAAAAATAGACATATTTTAACTTACTTGACTTTTCCAGGATGTTTCTGTAAAGTCGTTTTCTTTTCCTCATTACAAGGGGAGTCTTGTGCCTCATTTCCTGACTTGGTTCCTGTTAGGGAAGAGGGGTGGAAAGTTAAGAGGATAACAGTTTGTGTGTGATATGAAATGAGTACGACTATGTATGGCTTGGGCACCATGGAGGCAAAAAGAAGGAAAGAAAGAACCGCCGAGAGAAACAAACCCCAAGAGTTAACAGCGAGGGGTGGGCGAGAGGAGCTTTCTCCGAGGGGAAACTGGAGGCTGTCTCCCCAGCAAAGCATCACATGTTTTATGGAGTCATGAAGTTTCCATGGCTGATGAAGGGGGAAAAAAATTATGAAAGGGCATCTTTTCAACTTCTCCTTTGATCTGACATTCACCTTCTGGCAGACTGTTGTGAGGCGGGTTTCTATCAACTCGACTATATTGTTTACAGATCCTTCCTTCCCGAAATTAAATTTCGGGCTCTCCGCGAGCCTCCAACGCAAGTTGTTGTCTCAGCAAGGATTAGCATTGTAACACCCTGGCACTTCTCCCTGCCTATAATTTTCAGCTTGCTCTTTGCACTCTGCGAGGCAGAGCACTGTCACTGCTGCAGGCAGAACTTCGCGCATCTCTTTGAGCGGCAGCAGTAGTGCAGATCTGGGCTTTGATGCAATGTCCGAGGCCGAATTTTTACAGATACCTTTGAAATTCTCGAGTATTTTACAATACAGAAAAACAGAGGAGAATCCTTTTTTTTTTTTTTTTTTTTTCCCCCTTTTTTTTTTTTCTTTCTTTTTCCCTTCGGAAGGAGATTATTATTACTATTTCTGTTGCTATTATTATTATTGAGACTCCAGGGCTGGGGAATAAAAATCTATACTAACACAAATAATTGATGATATTAATTATGAAACTTCGTCGGTTTATCACAGGCATACTCCATCACGAATAATTTGATGCCTTCACCTTTTTCACTGCTGTGATGAAAATTACTGCCGAAATAAAAAGGACCAAAGGAAACCCTCAGGAATTATTTTACTTGTCAATTTCCATTCACTCTCACATGTTTAGAGCCGGTGCAGTAAGCACTGCCCTACTGGCAAGAGTTCTGCAGGAGTGGTGCCGTGTGGGGTAGGATGGAGGAGCTGGGAGCACTCAGCTCCCGAGTGTTCTCCAAAACTTGTTGAAACTGGACAAAATATATAAATAAATACAAATTTGCTGCATTTAATATTTCAAATGGTTACCAGATGACAAAAGCGAAGGCAAAACAGTTGTGGAACTGAGTAAATATTGACTAAAACACTGGGACGACCTCACAGCCCTTCTGATCACACGGTGCCACTATCAGAATGGGGAGCGGGATGCCCCACCGTCTGGGCAGGGCGAACCTGTCCCGTGGCCGGCCGAAAACTGGGGGTCTGCTGCGGGGTTCCAGACCTCACCGGGGCCCTCGTTGCTGCCCCGGGGCTCGAGACTCCCTCGGGCCAGCCGCGGGTGGAATCCGGCCACTCTTCCCCAAAGCACGGGGCAAAGTGTGCAGCGGTCCATGCAGCAGTGTGAGCCGGGAGATGCCTCTGCCTGCAGCCCCCGCGAGAGCTCCGGTGTCCGGGTTTGTTGGCACTGCCTCGGGGTGCGGCAGTCCGGCCGGGTACCCTGTTCTGCCCGCGGGAAAACCGGGAAGAAGTCGATGCAGAGAGAAAGTTCCTCGGGACCAGGTGGAGAAAGCCCCGCACCCAGCAATCGGGCTACACAAATGGGAACGGCGGCAGAGACCGAACCCGGCCGGGCTGCCCAGAGCTGGAGGTCGTGCCTGGCAGAGCAGCCGCGAGACTCGGAGCTCCCGGTGCCCGGGACTGGCACATGGAGCCAGGCTCGGGTCATAGGTCACCCTCAGCTGCGATGTGGGAGCCTCTCCCCTTTCCCGAGCGGCTCAAGAGATGGGGTCCCGCCCCCCCGAGGGTGCTGCGCGATGCTGGCGGCAGCACCCAGCTTCTTGGCAGCTCCCCCGGCCCTGCCCCGGGGAGTGGGATGTGGGTGGGGGTGGAGGGGGCCGGCCGGGCTCCGTCCCTCCTGCAGCCGCCTATAAAGAAGGGCGCGCTGTGCCGAAGTGCCGGCTCCCCCGGCGCGGCCCCATGGCATCGGGCGCGGCGGTGGGCGAGGCGCTGGGCGGGGAGCGCATCCTCGGGACGCCGTACCACGGGTCTCACCACTGTCGGCGCCCCTCGCCCACTCCTCGATACCCCCGTCCACCAGGCGACCGAGGGACCGAGCCGGCCCCACCGTTGCCCTTCTCCACCGAGCTGTCGTCGTCCCGCCCGGAGCCACCCCCGCCCCTGTCCACAGACCCCCGTCCCGCTCCGCCTTGCGGAGTGCCGCCCAGCCCGCCCCTCAGGGTCCGGAGAGTGGGCGCGGGGCCGGCGGTGAGTGTCGGTGCCCCCCTCGACGGCACCCCGGAGGTTCTCTCTCCGTGCTCCCGCCCCATACGCCGAGGTGCTGCCGGGAGCCGCCCCACGTGGGTTCGGGGCCGCCGAGGCGCTGCCTCCGGGCCCCGCTGGGCTCCTACCCTGCTTCCCAGGGGTGGCCGAGCCTCCTCCTGCCGAGACCCCCGAGGGCAGGGAGCTGTCTCCCGAGTCTTGGGGAAGGCGGTGGGGGCAGCCACCCAAGGCACCCCCTCCTCCCCGGCACTTACCCCTTCGACCTGTTGAAGGTTTCCCCTCATATCTGAACTGGCAAAAATTAAGGGGGGGTGGGGGGGTGTGTAAGGGGGGTGGGGTGTGACTGGGGGGAAGGGGGAAGGGAAAAGAAAGAAAGAAAGAAGAAGAAAACAATACTCCCCCCTCCCCCCTCCCCCCCCCCCCCCCTCCCTCCCTCCTGTAAGAACCCACCACCTCTTTGGCGCTTCCATCGAGGCGGTCATCCTTCATTTCTTCTTTTCTTGCTTTCTGGAAGCAGTTAGGGAATGTATGATGAAGCAGAAATGAGCCGTCAGGATGATATTTTAATGGCTTATATGTCACGTTGGTGCATGTGGCTTTGAACTGGAGCAGCTTTCGTTTCCTGCAGAGAGCGCGCCGCAAATCCCACTTGATAACTTCTACAACCCACAACATTTTTTTTTCCTTACATTCACTCTTACACCGTATATTTAGATACGCTTCCTAAAAATACCCTCCCGTCTGCCTTCCTGCGTGCTTTGTGCGGACCTGGCACGGTCACTGCTCCCCCTGCACTTGGAGGCATCCTCGCCCCACGCTGCCCGACTTTCAGGTTCTCCTGATGCCATCACCCTGAAGATTTCCCCATTACGCTGACAACTCTGCCCCATCGCTCCGTTTAATTTTAGAACCAAATGCAGAGATTAATGGGACGTCCGCACAGGATCACGTCCCGCAGAGGCACGCAGGGCGGGTGTACCTGTTGCTCTAAGCTACTGCAATTCCTCCGAGCGGATTTTGCAGAATGAACGTGTACGTGTAGATTCAGCCCCTCATTATTCCGAAAAGCTGCAAAGCCTCCCAAGCTCCAAGAGGGAAATTACATAATACATCTGCTCTAGAAGCGATCCTCACGCACTGAGCACAGGCAAAGTGCATCTGCAGATAAACTGCAGCGGAGCGCTCCTTGAAGGCATATCAAAGTTTATTTGTTGCTCGGTCGTTGGTTGCTTTCCTCCTTGGGTTGCATCCATTGCCACCCCTCCTGGCACCGGGCGCTTCCCAGCGCTGCTGGCGGTGCTGCTGCCGCCCGCTCCGGTACCTGCGCGGCGGTGGCTGCCCGCGCCCTTCATTAGCACCGGGAGTTGAAAGTTTCTTTGTTTGCCACCACGAATTGGAGGGGCTCAGATTTAGTTGCGAATAAGCCAAGTGAAGGGCTGAACAAAGGAGAAATTGAAGGATTCCGAGTCTTAGCGAGCTTTTTGTGTTTTCGTTACTAGAAAATAATTAGACCTAATGAATATGCAGGCGACCGAGTAAATAAACAATTTGCCGGGTTTCTGTGCGCGTACACACACATGTGCACGCACATAAGTGTGTATACACACACGTATGCATCTATTGTAAAGTTTCGCGAGGTCTGCTTTTTTTTTCAGAGCCGAAGCATCGTTTAAAATATTGTACAAATGTTGCTCGGCTTAATTGATTAAGCCACAAAGGCTTTCTGCTTTAAATATCACACTTCTACCTCTCGACAATCATTTTAATATATAGTCAATGGCTCTTTGTAGCGAGAACAAAAAAGAACTATCCGCAGATTTTCAATAGACTTTGAGCTGGGGAAAGACAGGTTAATCGAGGGTTGCATCTAGAAAACAACCAAGTGTTGTATGTTTGCACTGAATCCAAATGTCTGCATTTTTCTAACTAAATCAAAGGGAGTGTTATTTCTTTTTCTGCTCACTCATCTGAAGGTAAGTAAATTTTCCCTGGCGATCAAAAGCCTGGTCAGCAACAAAGGCACCGCCTGCTTTTTCCACCGTCCTGGTGTGGCAAGTTGAGGAATTTCAATAACTGTGACAAGGGTGACTGATTTGTGAACTAGAAAAGGTTTGGATGTCAGAAAATTTACATTGCTCCTATCGATGGTTTGAAATGAAATAAAAATAAAGATAGATGGGAAAGAAAAAAAGGGGGGAAAAAAAAAAAAAAAAAAAAAAAAAAGGATGCGGGAGTTTCATGCAGCAGAGCGAGGAACGATGTCTGCTTGGGAAATCCACAGTTTTTACCTGAATGAAAGAGACCCCGTAAAAAGAGCGAGAGAAGGGGGGAGAGAGAAAGGAGAAAGGAAATAACAGTAAAGAGGAGAAAGAACAACAACAGAAGTAGAAAGTGAAGGGTTCTCACCCACCTGCGTGTTGATGGGGGCAGAAAACAAGATTTATTTCAGAAAAGTGGTGGAGGGCAGAGGCAGCTCCCCCCAGAATCACGCCTGTTGGCTACAAATAAAGCCCAGCGCACCCAGCACCTACTCTCGGAGAGTTCCGGTATTAACCAGGCGGCAAACAGCAACTTCAAAAGCAGCGAGTCACTACGGGGCTCCTCTTTTCAGAGCCTAAAAAGTTGCTCAGTGATCTTAAAAAATCGGGATCACCACGAAACCATCATTACCGTCATTATAGGAGTGCTGGAGCGAGAGAGGCAGAGAGAGGGAGACAGGGGGAGAAAGGAACCCAAAGAACAATCAAAGATTTTGTTGTTGTTGTTGTTGTTTCCTTTAGCACACATAGACACAAAAAGATGCGTTGGAAATATTTTCGTGGAAAAAAAAAAAAAAAAAAAAGTTGCTACTCCTGGAAGCCCTGTTTGTCCAAAGGGCTGTCAGGGCGCTCACAATACCTGCGATTGATGAGGCGGAGCGGCCAATCAGCGGCGGGCGGCGGCCGTGCGCGCCCCTCGTTGGCGGGGCCGGGGGGAGTTACGCGGGGAAGGGGGAGCCGCCGGCAGCCAATCAGCTCCCACGTCCGCCCGCACGTCGCCCCGCCCCCGGCTCCCATTCATCAAGGGGGGGGCCGGTGTCGTCCTTTCAATTCATTTATCTGCAGGAATGATTGCCGCTATCAGTCTCGCGTTCACCGCCCGGCTGAGGAGGTGAAAGTTTCTCCCCAGGAAGATAAACCGCAAAAGACAATATTGTGCATGATTTGCGCCTTTTTTTGCAAAGCGAAAAAAAAAAAAAAAAAAGCCAAAAAAAAAAATAGGGGAGAGTGTGGGGAAGCTCGAAGAGGAGAGAGAAACAATCTCTCGGCCACTTCGCGACATTCCTATAGCCAAAAAAATCACTGAAGGAAGTTTCTTTTTTGTTTTGTTTTTCTGCTGCCCGCGCCGAGCTCTCGCCGTTATTGTTATTTGCGGGCAGTTTCTTTTTGCGCCCACCCCAACCCCCCTCCCCACTTCAGCCTCCCAGAAAAGTCAAAGCAGAGAGACAGTGAATATTTTTTTGGGGCACCTTTTTTTATTATTATTATTTGCGACTGCGAAGATCTCTTTCCCCCCTTTCCCACCAGCCTCTGTTTTTTTTTGTTTTGTTTTTGTTTTTGTTTTTTTTTCCTCCCCCCCTTTTTTTTCTCCCCCCCGCGCTGATGCCGAAGGGGGTGTTTTTGATGTGGTTGCTTTGGTGGTGATCGTCGCCGACTTTCCAGAGAGGGTGTTTTCGCCGCTGCCGCCGCTGCTGCTGCTTCTCTCCGCGTTGTGTGCGTGCGCGCGTGCTTTTTTTTGGGTTGCTGCATCGACGCTGGGAAGATGCTTCTGGATGCTGGACCGCAGTATCCCGCCATAGGAGTCACTACGTTCGGATCGTCTCGCCACCACTCCGCGGCCGATGTCACGGACAGAGAAGTGGGGCTGGGAATCAACCCCTTCGCCGACGGCATGGGCGCCTTCAAACTCAACCCCGGCGGCCACGAGCTGGCCTCGGCCGGGCAGACCGCCTTCACCTCGCAGGCTCCGGGCTACGCGGCGGCGCTGGGGCACCACCACCACCCGCCCCACGTCGGCTCCTACTCCAGCGCCGCGTTCAACTCCACCCGGGACTTTCTGTTCCGCAACCGCGGCTTCGGGGAGGCCGCGGCCGCCAGCGCCCAGCACAGCCTCTTCGCCTCCGCCGCCGGCGGCTTCGGCGGCCCGCACGGACACGGCGATGCCGCGGGACATATACTTTTCCCCGGGCTGCACGAGCAAGCGGCCGGCCACGCTTCGCCCAACGTGGTGAACGGGCAGATGCGCCTGGGCTTCTCCGGAGACATGTACGGCCGAGCCGAGCAGTACGGCCAGGTCACCAGCCCCCGCTCCGAGCACTACGCCTCGAGCCAGCTGCACGGCTACGGCCACATGAACATGAACATGGCAGCGCACCACGGGGCGGGGGCCTTCTTCCGCTACATGCGGCAGCCCATCAAGCAGGAACTCATCTGTAAGTGGATTGAGCCCGAGCAGTTGGCGAACCCCAAAAAGTCCTGCAACAAAACTTTCAGCACGATGCACGAGCTGGTGACTCATGTCACCGTGGAGCACGTTGGAGGACCCGAGCAGTCCAATCACATATGTTTCTGGGAAGAGTGCCCGCGAGAAGGGAAACCTTTCAAGGCCAAATACAAACTCGTAAATCACATCCGAGTCCACACAGGTGAAAAACCTTTCCCCTGCCCTTTCCCAGGCTGTGGCAAAGTGTTTGCCAGATCAGAGAATCTCAAAATACACAAAAGAACTCACACAGGTACGGTAACCTTCTCTGTAGCCTTTCTGTCCGCGCGTGGACGCGCGGGGCCGGGTCGGGCCGGGCCGCTCCGGGGCCGTTCGCTGCTCCCGGGGCCGCGGAGCTGCACGGCGGTGCGGGCTCGAGCTCGGGCACGGCGGCGGCAGCGACAAAAAACGAGCGGTGCCCGCGAGGCGGAGGGGGAGAGAGGCGCGGTTTGCTGCCGGAGTGGTGAGGGCAGTGGGGGGGGGAAAAACCGCAGCGACCTGGTCCTGGTAAATTTATAGGTTTTAATTAATAGTTCTTCGGCAGTTTTGAGTGTGGCGCGATGAGAAACGGTGCTAAATATTGCAGGCGGCTCATCCGTCTCCCCTGTGCGATTCAGGGGCTGGTAAATATTTAATTCCGTGGAGCGATTGGAAATCAAGCGAGCCGAGCGCGTTCGCGTGTTATTGTTGTGCGGAGGAGGGCGGGCGCCGGGGGCCTGAGAACTTTTCCCCGCCGCGGGATGCGGCCGCGCTGCGCTGGGCCGGGAGCGCTCCCCCCCGCACCGCCCCGCGCCGAGCTGCTCCGAGGACGGTTCGTGGGGCTGCGGCCGCCGTGCGTGCCTCGGTCCGGCCGGGCCGCGCTCGGTACTGCGGGAAAATACGGGGGAGGGGGCCGAGGGTAAAATATCACGAGAGCGAGTCGTGAAAACGGCAAGCAGACGCCGAGATCGGGTGGAAATAACGGCACGCCGGTTCTGTCTCTCGCTTCGAGCGCCGCGAGAAGGGAGCGGGAGCTGCGCCCGGGGCTGGGCTGCAGCTGGAATTCGCCCCTGCGAGCAGAGAGAGGGGAAAAAGAAAAGTTCTTGGGTGCTCTACCCCTCCCCCCATTTGGAAATGGGCGCCGAGAGCGGGTCGGAGGTGCGGATAGGACAGAAGAGAGCAGGAAGGTTTGGGGCTTTGAGCCCCTCTGAACTTAGAAAGTTGCGAGTGTTTGCGGTGGAGCCCCGGGCTCCCGTCCGGCGCTGCGGTGGGGGTGAGCAGAGATCCGGCGGCCCTGCCTAATCCGATCCGTTTTTTCCCCCTCCTTCCCTCTGCAATAGGTGAAAAACCATTTAAGTGTGAATTCGAGGGCTGTGACAGGCGCTTTGCAAACAGCAGCGACCGCAAAAAGCACATGCATGTGCACACTTCCGACAAGCCCTATCTCTGCAAAATGTGTGACAAGTCCTACACGCACCCCAGCTCCCTCAGAAAGCACATGAAGGTAAATGGAGGGCTCCCGCTGTGCGGGGCGCTGCGGCTCCGCCTCGGGCCTGGCCGGGGGAAGGGGCTGCGGGGACGGCCGCGGGCAGCACCCGCCGGGCCGTAGGGAGCGGTGCCCGCGGGCGGAGCGAGGAGAGAGGCGCGGGGCCGCCGAGGACAGCCGAGCCCCGGCCCGGAGTCCGCTCGGGGCCGCCCCCGCCCCGCCGCACCGGGCAGCGCCGTTTGAGCGGCCGGGGAGGGAGGGGGGGAGACCCGGCGCGCAGGGCCCGGTCCCGAGGAGAGCCCCGAGGGGGGCACCGGGCCGCAGCTCGGCGCCGGGTGCCGATGTTGGGCGAGTCCCCGCGGAACGCCGCCGCCACCGGGGCCTGGGGCCGCCGCCGTGCTCTATTTCTGCCCGGGTTCTCTCTTGCAGGTCCATGAATCGTCCTCGCAGGGGTCCCAGCCTTCTCCCGCCGCCAGCTCAGGCTACGAGTCCTCTACCCCTCCAACCATCGTGTCTCCATCCACAGAAAACCAGACCGCCAGCTCCTTATCCCCTTCCTCCTCCGCAGTCCACCACACGTCCAGCCACAGCACGCTTACATCAAATTTTAACGAATGGTACGTTTAAAACGCTAAAACAAAACAGCGAAAAAACACAAACCGAAACAAAACAAAAAAGCCCCAAGCGAGCGAATCCAGACCCTATTTAAAAGACTCCAAAAATAATGAACACTCTGAAATCAGAATTAAAAAAAAATTTAAAAAAGCGAACAAAGACAAAATGCTGCCAGTAGACCCAGGACTGAGTAAAATGAAGACTCTTTTTTTGTTTGTTTGTTTTCTTCCTTTTTTTTTTTTTTTTTTTCTCTTTTATTTCTCTCCTTTTTTTTTTTCCTGTTTATTCTTCCTTATTTTTTTTTTTATTAATTATTATTATTATTATTTTTCTTTTTACTTTTTGGACTGTTCAGCTCTGCTCTGTTCCAAGGCTTGGTAGGCGAAGGGGTTAGTAGGATGCATAAGAAGACAAGGTTACCAGGGCAAATGCCAACCGTGTAGGGCTGTACTGGAAACCACTGATTAGAGCTCTCCAACTGCATGTCTGCTCGGGCAGCGGCCTTCCCCCCACTCCCTCTTGTAAATACAGAATTATTAGCTTCAAAAAAGTTAAAAAAAAAAAAAAAAAAAAAAAAAAAAAGGAGAGAGAGAGAAAAAAAAAACACAAAAAACACGAACGTACTGTTTGATTTTGTACATAGTTATACCGCAGTCGAAGCCGGGGAGCCGTGGAGTTGTGGTTGCATCTATGTGGGGGGAGGGGCGGGCGGGGGGGGAGCGGAGAGGGGGGTGGAGGTGGGGGGGCCGAGGGGAGAGGTAGAAATCCAACTATTTGTACTGAATGGCAAGAATGTTCTAGTAAATGTGTACCAAAATGTGAATTACTTTGTATTATTACAGTCTAAACGTCGATCTAACAGAATATTATTGGTATTAATGTGCTTTTTTGTATAAAGTGCAACATTTCGTCCCAAAGTCCAGTCTAAGTAGTGCAGTAAAATGTTGTTACACGTCCTGTCAAGAAATTCGTATAGTGAAAGCCTGGATCTGCGTGTCAAACTGTTACATTTGTTTATGTAAAGTGATATTAAAAAAAAAAA